AACTAAACATCCTACAGTGTTTTTACAGTCTTTATTTTACAGTTAAAATATATATTTATCAAATAACGTCTAATGTTACAACTAATCATGGATCCCTTTAAAAAAAATTAAAGTTACAGAACCCAAAGGTCATCGCACTGATCTGAACGAGGTAAACGATTTAACAGCTAAAATAACAACAGTGTTGAGGAGTAATAAGATAAAATGTAAAGTCTTTGAACTGCTGACTCTGCATTCACAAATTAAAAGCATGATTTTATGAATTGCTCTGCGGTCGCGGCTTCTCATCAGGTTCTGTTAAAATAAAAGAGGTGCAGTTGATAAAAATCTAATTTGATCATCATCACTGTGCAGGATCCATCATATGATTAGTCCCAATAACCACCTGTTATTGATCACTTTACAGTGATTAATGACACATCAGTTACTGTCCCACTTCATGGCTTCAGCAGCAGCTCGGATCGATCCCGCCTGCAGCTTCACTGCTGATCCCAGAAACTTACCGTTGACGGCGTTTATGTGAAACTTGCGAGGACTTCATGTGTTTGTTTGTGTGGTCGCGGCCCGGCCCGGCCCGGCCCGATCGACCGACCCTCGTCTCGTCATCTGTTTTGTCTGACTTATTGAAGTCYGTTCGATGAGCAGGATTAAGAATGAGAAATCTAAATCTATTAAGGATAAAAGCGTTGTAGTCATAAAACGACGCTGCGGGGTGAATTAAGAGAACGAAGCATCGCTGCTTCATCAAGAGTTGATTGTTTGTGGAAGGATTGTGTGTTGTTGTGAAGAATTACACAAGAGAAACTAAGACTTGTTTGGAGCAGATGGTTTGTTACGATGAGGGAAACCGGTGCTCCTGGCTGGGACAGAAGTCTTGATACAGTTTGATGAAATGTGGTAAGATTTACTAACTCGCCTCTAAATCCACAGAGACGATTGTTTTGTTGCTCTTTACATCTCTGCCCAGTGTCCTTTCTGCTTCAGCAAGCACTTAAAATAAATTACCCATCTGTCTTCAGCCCAATAAATCTGTAATTGAGTACAGTAGACCTGACTAATGTGTGATTGATTATTCATTTATCCTGTATTGATCCTGTGAAGATGAGCGCTGGCAGTTCCCCTGATGGGGGTTTTGGTAATTGCTTGTCCTGATTGGGGTCACTGACAAAAGATGGAGCAGGACGGGTCACGCTCCTCTTACTCCAGCCATGTTGTTCGGTTGAACTGAGGTGTTGCTCTAAGTCTTAAATCCTCTGCAGGACACTCCGCTCACACTCGTGGTTCTGCTCTGGTGTTCTCACAGCGAGGGCTGGCTGTTGAAACACTCGTCTTTCTGTGACCAGGAGGCTACCGAGCACGAGTTCTGCTTAGCCAGCTGTGTTGAGCTGAACGTCAGATTTCAGAATCACAAAGAAGGACTGGTTGCGGCATCGTCGAATGGCGGGCCAAATCAAGGCTGCATGGGTCCGACTCACAGGAGAAACCTCTCAAATTAGAACCCAGATGGCGGCGGTGGCGGCAGATGTATGTAGCTGTGCAGTATCGCTGCAGGAAAATACATCCKTTTTGGCTTTACAGGCATCTGCAGGTCTGTTTTTGACCAAATTTACCTCAGCTTTAGTGTTGCTGTTACTCTGTATGCTACAAAAACAGAAGATCAAAGACGCAAATGACGGACATCATTTTCGAAAAACAACAGCACACAAGCGTCCTATGGCGTGTATACAAGCATCGACCATAAGTTATCCTAACTTTGGTAAATATCTTCTACCTTGCCGGTTGGGCTGGTTTCTCCAGCTTGCTGCTGTTGCGGCGTGTCTCGGTGGAGTGGCGGATGTGGATGGAGTCCCTCGGCCCTCGGATTGTCCCTCGTGTTTGGACGGAGCGCCTGGGGTGGACTTGCCGGCCTGGACGCGTGGCGGTGGGAGCTGGGACGAAGCGTTTAATCTAACAAGTGAGGCGTACCAGCTTCCCTGTTGCCTATTTGGATCAATATCAGCCGTGCCCTGTTTTTCGGTTGATGATCAAACTGGAGCTACTGGTTTTGGTGAGCATGCTCGTGTCRGACATGGTGGGAACCATGTTATTCAAGCCTTGAAGTGTGCGCCATTCAGCGAAGAAAAGAACAGCAAGCTACTGACTGGCTTCAGAACCTCACCTGATCGGGTAGTAATTTGGGCCTATGTTACTGTTTTTCATCAGTGGACAAAAGACATCAGTGCTAAAGGCACGGATATAACAGACTCTGTTTTAACCAGTCAGAAACAACATTTAAGACTTCTGTTTAATATTCTTTTAGTCATTGGAAATATTGAACTTAATCCAGATCCAGATAAAAACATTTTTATGTCCACTTTTTATATTTTATGGGATTTTATACATATGTTTTTAATAATTATCTTGACTTGGGTTTGTGCACAGGTGTATCTTATATAAATCCAACTCAATTACAGTCTACACAGGGATCTATATTATATCCTGAAAAGGTTAGTATAGTGGTATTAATTTATATTTTCAGATCTTCCAAGGTGCCAATTATGGAACTCTCTGTGCACTGTTGCCCAGATCAAATTCTGGAAGTGGTCATTCAACTAGATCTGTTACAAAAGGACAACTGATTTTACCAACTTTTAAAAACTGTTACGGCCAGAGGTCTTTCTTCTATGTTTATACTAAAGCATGGAATGACATTCRTCAAAACATAAAGTCCATTTCAAAACTACAGCCCTTTAAGAAGAATCTTGTCTGCCATCTGCTGGACACTTTTTTTTGTGCTCACAGTATATAAATCCAACTCAATTACAGTCTACACAGGGATCTATATTATATCCTGAAAAGGTTAGACAACCTCCTGTTATGTCAAGTCTGAACACTACATCAGTAAGAAAGCAAAAGCGATTTTCCTGTCTAAAAAAATCCAGGGACGCTAAATCAACTAGGTAAAATTAGAGGCTTTAAAATCTGTCATTTAAATATGAGAAGTCTTGTACCTAAACTGGATGAATTCAAAGTAATACTTGCTCAGACACAAGCACATGTTATGGCTATATCAGAATCATGGCTGACTCCTGCTTTACCAAATTCGTTTCTTTCAGTTGAAAATGATTCATTGTATCGTAGAGACCGTACTGATAGGCTTGGAGGTGGTGTTGCAGTTTATGTTCACAAGAAATACTCACATTCTATAATAAGCTGTAATAAGTTTTTTTTCCTGTGATTCAGTTTGTTGTGTAGTTTTATTCTTCATGATTGTTTTCTTTGTAAAAATTATTGTTTCTTTTGTTTTTTTTTTATTATTATTGTTTTTTTTACTGGTTTTAATCGATCTGGTTTTTTTCTGCAGAAACCTAAAGCTTCATCCATGGATTCAACCAAGCTAACGCGCTCTCTGCCATGTCAAGTTCACGTCAACCAAGGAGAGAATCTGTGAGTGGCTGAAACCAAGTTCTTTTTCTTCAAAAGTTTGTTCCTATCACACATTCTAAGTTTGTAATTAAGGATTTAGAAATCCTTTTAGAACCTGCAGGGGTCACAAATAAGATTTTAAAGAAAAACAAATGGGCAAAAACTTTATCAGCTGTAATTTACCGTATCAGCACCAGGCAAATACCAGTCTCCCTCCGTTTTAAAGGGGACATGTCATGCTTATAAGTTCTTCTTTTTCACATTTAAATCATTCAGTTGGGTCTTTATAAAGTGGAACTGCAATGCTTTAGTCTGAATTCCTCCTTATGTTAACTTCACAAGCTCCGCCCCTTTTCTGAGGTGTGTCTCAGATTAACTCATTTTGAGGCTGTCTCTTTAAATCRAAACGAGGTGCTTCAAACCCCACCTCTCCAGCTTCCAGGCCAGTTCATTCTAGTTTAATAGAGGGGCTTACGGTTATATAGCTGCGCAGAAATGTTTTTATTTACAAATAAATTAAAAGATGTGAACAAGGCAAGACTTGTCCATCCAGCCTTACATGTTGGAACCAGAGTCTGACCCAGAACCAGAGTCTGACCCAGAACCAGAGGAGAACTAAGACAAGGAAGTTGTAGTTGGTAACTCCAGACCTTATTTGGCAGTTTGGTCGCAAATTATTTTACGTAATTCCCGAAAACGTAATAGAAAATAGGGAAGTTTGATCGAATTGAAAAATATGATCCAACAGAAATGGTATTTACGCAGCACCAGYAGAGTTAAAACTTTTCTGCCTCTTAGAGACACCAAGTCAACAACAACGTGTATCTAATAATTAAAAAAGTGGAATTTGAATGACATATCCCCTTTTAAGCTATAATGAACTCCAACTTTCAGGGTTCCTGCGGATCCTTAAAAAGTCTTAAAAGGCATTGATTTTGTCAGTTCAAAAATAAGGCCTTAATTAGTCTTAAAAAGTCTTAAATTAATCCTTCAGAGGTCTTAAAAATGTGAGCACATTGTAGGATGATTGTAATTCATTTCAAATATTAAAATAATTGCTAAAAGTAACTTTTTTAAATATTCACATAAACATTCCCCTTTGACATCACTTCCTGTTATTTCACATGCAAATATCTCAACAACTTTACATCTGAGCAATGAGAAATTATTTTTGTAATATGTTAATAATGTTGTCTTTCCAAAAATGCACTCACTTTTCTTACAAAAAATAATTTCACAGACACTTTAAGGTTTCATCTACAGCAAACTGTGGTTGAGACCCCACTGTGGGTCCTAAAACTCCAAACTTTGGGTCGTTAGAGGATTTCCAGAAATTAAATAAAGTTTAAAACTGACGGCTAAGAATGTTTCTGCTACAGTTGTAAATGGATAAAAACAACTGGGCTGTTAGCAATATTTTCATACTTCAACCAAAAATACTTTGGTTTATGAGTTTCTGCCACAGTTTTTATTTTTTTTTTTTTGTCATTTGTGTTTATTATGAAATTGGTCTTAAACTGAATTTCACTTGGCATTAAAAAGTCTTAAAAGGTCTTAAATTTAACTTAAAGGGATCCCTGATTAGTTGTAACATTAGAC